CGGGGGGCGCTGGAGCCTATCCCAGCTGTCATAGAGCAAGAAGCAGGGTACACCCTGGACAGGTCGCCAGTCTGTCGCAGGGCTTATATTATATTATATTATATTATATTATATTATATTATATTATATTATAAAAAATAATAGCAATTCAGAAATTAGTTGTAAATTTTTTATTTGTATACATAAGTATCAAAGACAAGGGCTCATGTAGAATACAAACATATCTGATAAATACATTACTCTAAACCATACAGTCATAACGCAGTGGATTTTAGAACTGTGAAGCATAGTTTGATTCTTCTTGTCCCCTTGAGTATACTCAATTCACACTGATGGAAAATTGTTCTCCAAGTGCTCATTTCTATGGTATGATATAATATTTCTGTCCCATTGGTGATCGTTGTAACAGGTTAGTGCTTTGTAGGACTTTAATTGGGTGTGAGTTGTCACTCTGTCACTGTACAGTTTGATAAACATAAGAATTACTTCGGTCATATGATGTGAGTGGTGAAAAGTGATGAAATTTTAACCCAAATCAACACCTATGGGACATCTTCTATTGGATTTTTTACTATCATCATATAACACCAAATTATGGCATTTAGAAGAGTGGCATTGACTCCCTAAGCTTTGGAGACATGTTAACACCAGGTAAGCTTTTCAGCCCTGCGTCTTCATAATACATACAACTGCATTTCATTTAAATTTGTCGCCTGACTGTGAATTAAATTTTATTTACAGAGCGTACAGTGAAACTGAGAAACACTGAAAGGCACTCCGGCTTCATGTGGGATACGGCTGGTTTTCTTGTGATGTATCTGGATCCAGCAGATCGTCTGCATAAATATCCTCTGTTCTGGGAAGAGATACACAAGCAACAAACTTTTTCAACCATATGTAGTATGTTTGTACGAACTGCGGTGTATTTATGTGTTAGACAAAAAGGTTATGAGGTGTACAAGTGTTAGTTGTGCAAAATAATATTTAAACAGTTACTTTATTTGCTGTAATGATTTTGGTATATGATATAATAATTCTTAAATACTTACATTACTTCCAGAGTGTCTTCAACTGCAACCTCCTCTACAACCTCCACTCCAACGATCACGTTCCTCCTCACTGCTTAAATCAAATACAAGAACATTTTGATATGTCTCAAATGGATGCCTGCATAAATATATGTGTGTGTTGGCTGAATGACAACAGCAATCTCAGCTTTAAACACTCCGATGGAACATCTTAGTTCAGTACATTGAATATCACAATTGCTAAGGTAAAGGGAAAGGATATCATTAAGGAAAAGACCCTAGAAACTAGGTGTAATCTCACCTCCACAGTAGATAAATGGAGATCCTGATGAGCAGTGACCCAAAACATCTTGTTCCCTCTGTCTATAAACACATGCACATCTCTGGGTTTCCATCCCTGGACCTCCCCAGCACTGACAACCCATGAAATGCTGGAATACATCTCCTTGCTCAGCTTCAACCACTGTTATTTGCTGCAAAGGAGCACCCGCGTCATGCTGACACAGCCCTGTGCTGTTGGGAATCCCTGAGTGGACCTGAGGCTCATAGATGGACCACTGAGCATCAGCAGACTGACTGATAACGTCACCACATCCTGAAGAAATATATGTGAGATACAAAGTTAACTTGACCAATCAGTGGCTGAGGTCGAGCTATACATTACACTAAACAACAACCAAAATATACATGGCTGATTAATGCAGAGGATGGCTTAGAGTTACACGTCATGGCTGAATCATATGTCTGAACCATCTGTTTCCTCCACCTGCTGATTAGACCTGCTGGGTTTGGACTCAAACCGTGGTCAGCAGTCAGCAGTATACTGGTACACATTCCCACACACACATACACACACAACAAATATACAGAAATAGCAGTGTGGGGTTTCACAAACAAAAAAACAACATTAAATAGGATTAAATTTGTTAAGATTTGTAATTTATACCATTTACTCCAGTGGTGAAAGCAGTCATGCTACCAACAGTAAGTCTTTGCAAACTCATTCTTCAGCAATAAGAGATACTTGGATTTAAATGTGACTTTTGTTACATAATGTGGCAGCTAAGGAGAGAAAAAATTGAGCATGTGTACTTGTTTAGCTCTCCTCTTGGGAAATCAACCTACACTTTCATTTTATGCACAATGATGACTTGGATCCTTATTGATATTTCTATTATTTTATTATCAGTTAATATAACTAAATACAACAGCACATCCTTTTTATAAGTCTAGGCCAGATAGTATGTGTGATATCGTTCAGTTTTTTAAATGACATTGTGATCAACTGAACACACATGCATTTTCTTTTTTTTCTTTAAAAAAACGTTGTTTGTCAAACGTTCCATGTAGATTTGCTCTCAATGAGTAAGGTTCTGTATGATGTCATTTAATAATTAGATATGCTTTTTATGCATTTTTAGTGCCTACTTTTTGTTATGTTTCCCATTTTTTAACCTGTCCTGCTGCATTTACAGCTGCAAAAACCTGACATCTCAGACCTACCTGTATTATAGCAACATACAGCTGGAAGTTCTCCTGTTTCTTCACCCGCCTCCTCTTCTTCTTGGTGGCTCACCATGACAGAAACAAGGCTCCCTGAGTGCTGAGGATGAAGACACAGAGAAGGTCTGGGTGACCAATTCCAGCATTCATGACTAAGTCTGTGCATCCCAGCGCCAACTTCAGCACCGTCCACTGTTGTGTGTGGTTAAAGCAGTGAAACAGATTTCCCTTCTGCCTCCTAAACAAACGATGGAGCCTCTGATTGGGTTTTCTCTGGACTGGAGGTGGAAGCAGAGGAAATGACTGTATGAGCCACTTGAGAGAAGAAGCTGATTGGACTGTTTGTTTCTGCCTCTGATGTAATGCCTTACATTAAAGGATCAGTCCTGTATTTTAATCACTGTGACTGCAATAGCCAAAACATAAATAAATGAATAAATAAAATCAACTTCTCAGTTTTGTACCTAGCTTTCAGCAATAAAATTATTTCTTTTTGGCAAATCCAGTCATTTTTTAAATAGTAACATCTGATAATTTATTTTTACTTAAGTGGTTATCTTTAAGGAAGGGCCAACATAAGGAAAGATTATAAGGATTTATCACAGAAAATCTATCTATAAGTAAAAAGAAAAAAAAACATCATTCTGTATGTCTTAAGCAATTTAAAGTGGAATTTAAAATCTCCAGGGCATTATTATGGTAGCTTTATACTTTATAAACCATTGACAACTTTTTCTATCAATACATTTCTCCTGATTCATTTTTTGGTCTTGAGGATACTTACTGATGCAAACACTTCAATCTCATGAACAAAGTACTGCAAAACAAACAGACAAAAACAAATCATGTCAACTAAGCTAAAAGATAAAATCAGAAAACAAAGAACGCAAGCACACTGGGAGGGCAGGGGGATAAACTAAACTTAATTTCTCTCATTCCTTATTTCTATTTTTTTTTTTCATTTAATATCTTAAGTATGGCTTACCACTCCTCTGTCCTCCAGATGCTTTTAAGGAATCGAGATTTTGGTAAACAGACCTCAATGACTGATTCTGGGTCATGAGCATGAGACCAGAGGACAGAGGAGACAAAAAAGAGAAACGAGAAACCCCTTAGGGAGGGTGGGGAAATAACAAAACATGGGATTAATAACAGCAAAGAAAACCAAATGACAATTTAAGCTTTAAAATGAAACAATATGTGAACTGAATGAGGGGCCAGAATGAAACTAACACATACAAAGAGATGCAGACAGAGGCGAACATAGGAGTCAGTCACAGAGAGAAAACCACTGGCAAAACAAGAAGTGTGAATAACAACGAAAACCCAGCAATCAATATTCAAAAACAGACAAAAGAAGAAAAAGAAAAATAACAACATAACCAGAAATATTACGAAGATCACGACACTTTGCATTATAAAATGTGCAATATTATCTTGTTATCACACGTATGTACGTAAAAGCTTTGTACAGCAGCTCATAGATAGTAAAATGTCATTAAAGGCTTTTACCGGAAAATTATGATTAGAAATAATTCGAAGGTGGTGGTTAACCACTTTAAAACTGAAGCATTAACTGATATTTATGATGTACATTTTTTAATCCATTAATTTACTGCAGAACTTTTACAGCCAGCCCTCTTGATCATATTGGTCAATTACAGGTCACATGTCCTCTCCCTACCAATCGGAACTTAATGTGGTGGCTCGCACTGGGGAAAGTGGACATTTGCCCCTCCGAGGCTTCACAGTTGTCTGTTTCTTCTCTGAGGTCGTACCTTTTATATCAGGTAAGTTCACATTTAAATCTGTGCTTCATTGTACTTCACGGCACTTTATAACCTCACTTCTCGGTGTTTTCCTGCATACATCACCAGACACGCCCTCAGTCGCTAGATTTGTTTTGCTCTGAGTCGTTACTATTCTTATGTTTATTTCGTTTTGTAACAGGAATAAGATGACTTTTCCCGGATACGGCGCTGGCCCCGGTGGATTTCCAGGAATGGTAAGAACCCGTTAAATTGTGATGAAACGGTTTTACAGCCATCAACCGACCTTCGTCCCGGGATGGGCGTCTTTTCCAACCAGTCCGGAAGTTGGACGGTTTGAGAGAAATTCCGTGTTTAGATCCGTTACATAAAGGTTTCCATTTGAAATAACATGCAAACATTTTGACAATATATTTGGTTTCAAAGTATCTTAAAGAATATTTCGGCTTTAAAATGAAACTCGAGCAGTATTTGTGTGTTTTAGATTCGTACTATAACTGACTGTACAAAGGATGCATTCCGCAGTCGATCAAAAGTGGTGTTTTTACTTAAAAGGTACTTAGAGTATAAGATGATGTAGATATGTATTTGTGTTGCAAATACACAGCCATCTATTCGCTTCTGCTTATCCTTATGAGGGTCGCGGGGGGCTGGAGCCTATCCCAGGTACCAAAGGCGAGAGGCGGGCTACCCGGACAGGTCGCCAGCCTGACGCAGGGCTAACACAGAGAGACAGACAACCATTCGCACTCACATTCACACCTATTAGCAATTTATATTAACCATTTGATGTAACCCTACTAACTGGATGTCTCTGGGTTGTGGGGAGGAAATCGGAAAAAAACCATGCAAACACGGAGAGCACATGCAAACCCCACACAGAAAGCCCCTCACCAGGTGGTGGAGTCAAACTCAGGATCTTCTTGTTGTGAGGCAACAGTGTTAATCACCCAAATACCCATTATTCTTATATTATCACATTTTATTTTAAGTAGCATCAAATAGGATTTAATAAGCTCATAGTGGATCATATTTCTAACCTGATAATTGTTTCTAAAATCCTAACCATAGCACATCTGAAGCTGCCACACCTCATCAGAGCAGATAGCAGTTTGTTCACAGTGTAGTCGAAAGCTGTTAGAATTATGCTAATAATTATACTAATTATATAACAAATTTGGACTTCAAACCCTATGACAGCCTCTTGTAATGATTGTATCCAGATGTGTTGTGCAGCTTTTATTTATCTATACATCTGTTATTTAGATTACAGTGTCCATTAATGACAGTGAGGCCTCTTCAATGAGGCCTCAGAAAGCAGCCACGCAAATTAGAAAATACACTGAATCATTTCAAGCCTTTTAAGTGGCAAACAGGATTGTGAAATGATTAAAAGCATTTAAGAAATTAAAAAATAATATGTTTATTTATATTGAGATTTATTTTTTTTTATAATAAAGTTTGTATAAAGTATAGTTTGTTATTTTCATAGCAGGACACAGAGTTCTATGGAACTCAAGTGTATTTACAAATACAGAATAATATGAAGAATCAGCTAAATCTCGCTGACTTTAATTTCTTTCATTCTAACTTTCAGCAACAAGATCCTCTCTATGGTTATTTTTCAGCTGTTGCTGGTCAGGTAAGAGACAAAAGTCAAAGTCTCAAATCACTTCACTGATTTTGGACCTGATGAACTGTTGATGTAATGACCATTCATGCTTCTTTAAACCTTTGTAAAGTAGCTGTTAGTTACTTAACCGTGTTGTGTATCCCACTTTGTCGTGTTTTCATAAACCCCGACAGGATGGACAGATCTCAGCAGATGAGCTGCAGCGCTGCCTCACACAATCTGGCATCTCTGGCTCATACCAACGTAAGAGCAAAGGCTGTTTAGAATTTAAAAAGCACCTCAAACACAATACTGATTTTGGTTATTTCATTTTATATCTAAATTATATCTGTGCCTCTTGTTAAATAGTACTACGGTGTGACTTTTGGTCATAGTTATAAAAACCTTTGCTCTAAAAATCATTTAGCATTAAGGGGAACTCTCTTGTCGGCAAGCAGCAGTTTAAGTGCTAACCAGTGTCACTGGTATTGTATGCAGTGTCTCGAGACCTCGAGAACTGTTTTGCACTGTTAATGAATTCAGTGAAATAGTTTAAAAACACAGAACAGCCCATAATAGTTCTGCTTTTGAAGTCTTTTTGTATGTGACTGTTGATGCAGACAGGAAAATGGGGGGACAGGTGTTGGGGTAAGAGAACGTGGTGTGTTGTAGTTAGTCAACTTTCGTTCACATTTCTTTCTGCGTGACTTCACACCTGTGGTTACATGTGAGAAGCAGTTAGTGTTTGTTATTGTTCAATCTTTAAACCACCTTGTATACAGATTAAAATCAGTGTTTGTATCGGTCTGTCATACCTGTTAATAACGGTGATCTCCTTATTACACAGTTAATGTTATTTGTATATTTGCCCAGATGAATCGAAACATAGTTGTCAGTTGTATCTTTATGATCTTTGTTTCTTTCCACAGCCTTTAGCCTTGAGACATGCAGACTGATGATCAATATGTTGGACGTATCCTTCAGCTAATCATCCAAAAGACATGTTTAGTGGATTAACTGATATGATGACAGTTGCTAATGGAAAAACACTACGTGACACAGTGACACAGTAACTTGGGTGATGTATTAAGGGTCCTTGACTGACTCTGCTATCTCAGAGGGATATGTCCTGCACTATGGGCTTTAATGAGTTCAAGGACCTGTGGCAGGCTCTGAATGGCTGGAGGGCGACCTTCGGATCCTTTGACCGGGACCAGAGTGGGACAATAGAAGGCCAGGAGTTGCAGCAGGCCATCAAATCCATGGGTAAGAGCAAATTAAAGATTAAGTTATGACTTTGACAATAGTCAGGTGTCCACTGGAGCACTGCAATATGTTTTGCTTGCTTGAATCATTCCCACTTTTCTTACCAATCCCAAAGAGGTGCTGTATATGTACAAGTCAGTTTAGCTGTGATGAGGGATAGAATCCAGCATCCTTGTTCGATGTAAAAATACATGTCAACGTTTTTCTAAATCAACCAACAACATGGCCCCTCTATTGTGAAGGTTGGGCATACTGCGACGGGGGGAAATTCCGTAACGAGTTCTGACTTGATATAGATCTGGTGAACGGGTCTGGGAGCATAACCCATCTCTATTCCACGCAGCACAACATTAAATCTGCATGCACTGTCTGCTGAGAAAGGTAAAGCCCTAGAAAGGATTAAGGTCTGAGACCCTCCAGTGTCTCTCAGTATGCGCACCGATTTTAGATCTGTGGATTTATCAGTTAGCGATACAAAACCATCAAAGATAAAGGGATCAAAACAAGGGTCTGGCACCTTACCACCACAATCAAGCACCTCAGGATGGAACGCTGCTTTCACAAAGGCAACACCTTTGAGTTGCTGAGAATTCACTGTTTTGCGTTTCAGGGCCAAACAGTCTCCAATGACATGTCCCGGTTTATGACAGTAGAAACAC